AGTTCAAGCCAGATTCAGATGAGAATGTGCAATGAGGGCTGTCAATGCTGATGTCAAATGGATCTTGGCTGAATGCAGAGAATACCAGAAAGATGTTTACCTGTGTTTTACCAACTATGAAAAGGCTTTCAATTGTGTGAATCATGACAAGCTATGGACAATATTACAGAGAATGAGTATTTTTTGACTGTGTGGATCATCACAAGCCATGGACAACATTACAGAGAATGAGTATTCCAGAACACTTAATTGTGCTCATGAGGAACGACCAAAGGCAGTTGTTCTAACAGAACAATGATTTGTCCCAGGGTTGTATTCTTTTACCATATTTACTCAATCTGTATGCTAAGCAAATAATCTGAGAAGTTGGATTATATGAAGAAGAACATGGCATCAAGATTGGAGGAAGACTCATTAACAACCTGTGATATGCAAATGATACAACCTTGCTCTTTGAAAGTGAAGAGGACTCAAAATACTTAACTGATGAAGATTAAAAACCATAGCCTTCGGTATGGGTTGCACCTCAATGTGAAAAAAATAAAAATCTTCAACACTGGGCCAAAAATAACATCAAGATAAATGGAGAAAAGACTGAAGTTATCAAAGACTTCATTTTGTTGAATCTACTATCAACACTCATGGAAGCAGTAGCCAAGAAATCAAACAACGTATTGCATTAGGCAAATCTGCTGCACAAAAACCTCTTTGAAGCGTTCAAGAGCCAAGATGTCAATTTGATGACTAAGGTGTGCCTGACCTAAGTCATGGTACTATTATAGCCTCATATGCATGTGAAAGTTGGACAATGAATAAAGAAGACCACAGAAGAATTGATGCATTTGAGTTATAGTGTTGCAGAAGAATGAAAGTGCTATGGACTGCCAGCAGAACAAACAAATCTATGTTGGAAGAAGTACAGCCAGAGTGTTCCTTAGAAGCCAGGATGGCAAGAGTTCGTCTCTCATATTTTCGACATATTATCAGGAAGACTGGAGAAGGACATCATGCTTGGTTAAGTGGAAGGTCCAGAGATACAGAGGAAGACTCCCAACTAGATGGATTGGCACAGTGGCAGTAAGAGTAGGCTCAAGCTTAGTAATGCTTATGAGAATGGCACTGGGCAGTGTTTCGTTCTCTTGCACACAGGGTCAGTATGGGTCGGAACTGACTCAACAGCTCCTAACAATAACAGCAGCTACACATGTATGTAAAAGCTGGACAATTCATAAGGAAGACCAGAGAAGAATTAATGTCTTTGAATTATGGTGTTGGCAAATAATATGAAAAGTTCCATGGACTGCCTGAAAAACAAACAAATCTCTTGGAAGAAGTACAGCCAGAATGTTCCTTAGACGTGAGAATGGTAAGACTTTGTCTCACATACTTTGGACATGTTATCAGGAGGAACTTGTCTCTGAAAGAAGACATCATGCTTGGTGAAACAGAGGGCCAGTGAAAAAGAAGACTCCTAAAGAGATGGTTTAACACTGGCTACAATAAGGAGCTCTGGTAGCGTAGTGGTTATGAGTTGGGCTGTGAACCTGAAGGTCAGCAGTTTGAAACTACCAACTGCTCTGCGGGAGAAAGATGAGGCTTTCTACTCCCGTAAAGATTTACACCCTCGGAAACCCTATACAGGGTCGCTATGGGTTGGAACCTACTTGACGGCACTTAACAACAATGTGAGGATTTTGCAAGACAGGCAGTGTTTTAAATTGGAGTGACTCAGCAACACCTAACAATCGCCTACACATATAAGAACCTTACAATCATATACTGCTTTTTCTCCACTCCCAAGTTTAGGCTGTTGCTTTAATTTATTTTACATATGTTATGTGCTTCATAAAGGAGCTCTGGTAGCATAGTGGTTACAAGTCGGGCGACTAACCTCAAGGTCAGCAGTTGGAAACTACCAGCTGTTCCGTGGGAGAATGATGAGGCTTTCTGTTCCAGGAAAGATTGACAGCATTGGAAACCCTACACAGTGTGGTTATGGTCGGAACCGACTCCACGGCACACCACCACCATCATGTGCTTCATAATACTTCATGATTTTGTTTCAACAGTCATTCACTGTTTAAAGCATATTTAAGAAAAAGAAAAAGAAAACATCTATTTATCCATGCAGTTACCATTTTTAGTTTTCTTCATTTCTTTCTGTAGATCTAGATTTCGGGCTTTCTTTTGCTTCTGTCTTAAGGACTTAATGTTGAGCATTTCTTATAGTTCAGGTTTGCTGGTGATGAATTCTTTCAGCTTTGGAATGCCTGAAAACATCTGGAATTCACTTTCATTTTTTTATAGCTATGTTGCCAGGTAGAGAGTTGTAGTTTTTTCTTCAGAACTTTTAAAGATGTTCCATTCTTACATGCATTGTTCTGATCTGAAATATTCTGCCATCCTTATCTTTGTTCCTCTCTACCAAGCATGTTCTTTTTTCTGACTGCTTTTAAGATTTCCTCTTTATCAAAGATGTTGAGAAATTTGATTATGGCAGACTCAGTGTAATTTACTTCATGTTTCTCGAGCTTGGTTCATCGAGCTTCTTGGATCAGTAGGTTTATAGGTTTTTCTCAAGTTTGGAAGTTTTTCAGCCATTCTTTCTCAAATGATTTTTCTGTCACAGCCTCTCCCACCTCTCCTTTGGGGACCCCAAGTATTCATATACACAGCTGCTTGAAGTCCCTTTTTCTCCCCCCCTCCCCAACCCCGTTGCATTTTGGATCATTTCTATAGCTAGATCTTCAAGTTCACAAACCTTTCCTGCTACAATGTCTCATCTGCTGAGAGACATCTCATCACACATTGTAGGTTTCATCTCTAGAAGTTCTGCTTTGCTCTGTTTGCTATCTCGTGTGTCCCTACTTAACTTTTGACTGCATGGACTACAGTTACATTAACTTTCTTAATGCCCTTTTCTGCTTATTCTAACATCTGCATTAATTCTGGATCCGTTTCAATCTGGTTAATTCCTCTCCTCATTATGGGCCACACTTTTCTGCATTCTTTGCATGCCAGGTCATCTTTAATTGGGTGCCAGACATTGTAAATTCCACCTTGTTGGGTGCTGGGCATTTTTGTATTCTTATAAATATTCTTGAGCTTTGTTCTGGGATATAGTTCAGTTACTTGGAGACAGTTTGATCCTTTCAGGTTGCTTTTATGACTTGTTAGGCAGGTCTGGAGGAGTGCCTAGGTTAGGACTAATTATTCCTTCTTGCTAAGGTAAAGACACTTACTTGTTAGTGCTTTAGCCAGGGCCCATGAATTCTGAGTTCTTCCGGTCTGGCTGGTGGGGTCAGGCATTCTTGCTAGCCTTGTGTGCGCCCAGACCCTGCTCCCTCCAATCCTACCTGGTGGTTCTGTTCCCAGTCTGGTATGGTCCCCTCATTCCCTGCGCTGATTTGTGCCCACCTGAATACCAGAGTCCTCTCTCTGTGCGACTTTCTTCTCTGCCCTTCTGTCCTTTGAACTCTAGAACTCCTAACGTGTGCCTCAGTCTCCCCAGATCTTCAGCTGTCTCCTCATTGAGGGTGTCTGTTGGCTCTGCCTCAGTTCCCCTCTCTGCACTGAATCCTTGGCAGTCTCCCAGAGCATCGACTAGGTGCTCACTAAACTCACATGCTTGGTTTCCTTCAGTCATCTTTCAGGGATTGCTGACCTTAGCTGCCTTGTGTCCACTATCTTGGAAACAGTTCTTTCATTGCATTGTATCTGTTTTTCTGGTTGTTTCACGTGAGAGGGTAAGGAGGTCTCAGTTACTCCATCTTGACAGAAACAGAGATTGGTTTTTCATACAGCCATCTACCTTTTGGTTCACAGCAGAATGCTTAATCACTGTGCTACCATACCATATGTGGAACCTTTTCCTTTCAAGTCAACAGTGTTCCCAGTATCTGCCCAGTATCTCCTTTTCCATACCTGAATGACGTAGGAGGCAGAACAGTGATGCTCTTTGGTGGCAGTGGTCCACAATGCCTGTTGACCATTCCTTCCGATTGGACCTTGAGCCTCACAGCGTCCATGTGGCCCTGCCTTGACACTGGGGGTGAACCTAGGGCCTTACCACCCACCATCAGAAGCAGCCCCTTGGGTCCAAGACCCAGGCCAAAGCTGGTGCTCTCCACTGCCAGCCTCAGGTGGGAACTCGGTTGGACTTTGTATCCTAAGTTCACAGAACCCTGCCACACCCCAATTCCATCTGAGTCTGGTAATGCCCCAAAGCTCAGCATCAGCTCCATGGGTCTTCCTTGCCTTTGGACTGGGAGCTGCCTCCCTCTCCTTCCCCTCCTGGGCACGCCTGTCCTGCCTCTCATTCCCAGTGCCCAAGCACCCCATGTACTGCCCAGGACACCTTTCTAGCTGTGACCAGACACCTCTGTGGGCCAGGAGCCTAGCATCTCCACCTCCACGTGCTCCCAGAAGGGCCTAGCAAAATGTGTGTTTGATGTCCCCTGGGACAGTGGATATTGGTGCCCATGCCTGGGGTTGCTGTCAGGTTCCAGGCCCAGGAGTAACAAGGCTAGATGCCTGTACCCAGTAAGCTGACTCTAGAGGTGTTGGTCCATTCAGCAACATTACTGGGCACCATTGATGGTGTATGGGACCTCAGGGTCAAAGCAGGAGATAGGAAGAAAGACTAACAGTGACCACCGGACTGGGTCCCTCCTTAGCCAGCGTGCAGCTTCGGGCAGCGTGGTTTGACACCATGAGGCTGGCCATGGAAGAGGCCCTCTAGAGAGATGGGCCAGGGCAGGAGGTGGCACCGGAGGCCTGAGGCCCAGAAATGGGGGATCAGAGACCAGGGACTGTGCCCACAAGGTCCTCACCAGCAAGTGGAGTTAGGAGCTCTTCTTTTTTGGGGCCCTGACCTGTGCTGAGACAGCCAGGGGCCAGCTCAGGCTGCTCGGGTAAAAGGCCAGAGCCTGGTTCTTCATCTGCTGCACCCCCTCAGCCCTACCTAAGCGAATTGTGTACCATTCTTCTCTCCTGGGAAGGTGAGAGGGGCCGGATCCTGAGGATCTCTGCAGGTGTCCGATATGTGCAGCTCCCGATCTACTCCGACATCAGCTTCTTCAAGGTGGACGCAGGTGACAAAGAGACTCCTATCCTGACACCATTGTGAGTGATGCCAGCAGCCCCAGGACAGTGGACGTAGTGGGAGGCCTGTGGGGGCCCTGTTAGCTGAGGGAAGGAATGCTGTGGAATGTTTCTCTACCCAGGGCTTCCCTCACCCACGTGGCAGTTCAACTCTCCTTGGCAGTCAAGTGTGAGGGGGTAGCGTGGGTCCACTCCCCACAGCTCGATATCCGGCCCCCACCCTTGGGAAAGCATGTGTTCCTGTGGAGCTTGACTTGCCCAAGCCCCTGAATGATTCCCACAGGGCCAGCTGCCCCCTCCAGCCTCCTACCCTCCGCCTCCCCTGCCAAGACTGCCTCCTCTCCTAACCTCCCTCCTCCCACTTTCCCCTCTCTCCCTGTTTTCCCAGCATCCCTTTCTTCCTACCAACAACTTCCTTACGCCCTCCTCCCTCCCTGCTACTTTCCTTGTTTCTCTTCGGCCTCCTTTCCTTCTTTCTTTCTTTTCCTTCCCAGAGAACCGTTTTCTTTATCATTCTTCAAAACCTGATCATAGAATTTAGGAATGAGGTGGGCTTTCCAGCCCCGAATGCCTCTCATTACATCAATATTATTCGTTTTCACCATCCAGTTGTTCTGTAGGATAAAGCACTGAACTGAAAGGTTGGTTTGAAACTCAAGGGCAGTGGTTCAAACTCATCAGCTGTTCCTTGGAAACCCTATGTGTTGGAACTGACTAGATAGCACTTAAAAACAACAACAACAATCTAGTTTTACCACGAAGCATGTCCTGGTCAAAGTCATCTAGGCTGTCCAAGGCCATCGGGCAGAGCTGGATTTGGTCGCCCCAGTCTTACACTTGGCCACTTGGGCCCCTTTAGTAATACATGATGGCTATCAGCATGTGTATCAGCATTCAGATTTCTAAGGATTAGATGTGAGAGGCATTAGGACACCTCCAAATTGTTTTACAAGTTAAAATACCTCCTCAGTTAATTTTGAGCTCATTTGACTAAGGCCAGTATGTCAGAGTAGAAAACTGCTCCACAGGGTTTTCAATGGCTGTGACCTTTCAGAAGGAGATTGCCAGACCTTTCTTCTGAGGTGCCTCTGGTGCACTCAAGCCTCCAACCTTTCAGTTAACAGCCAAGCACAAACTGTTTATACCACCCAGGGACTCCTGAGCCCCGTTTCAATCCTTTTCTTCCTTCTTCCAAAGCGCTGGGCTGTCTTTGGCTATGACAAATGGGGATATTAGATGCTTCTCAAACAAAAGGGAGGAAATGGTTCTTGGGTTTCAGAATCTGGCACCTCTGTGAGCTGTCTCACCTCAGACCTCCAATTGGGAGCTCTATGCTCTGAGGCAGAGGCATGGCCTGAGCCGCAGATCCCCCGAGAGAAGTCATGTTCAGCCCCTCTGCACTGCGACCTCTATTTCTAACCCTCACAGCCGGAGTCAGAAACCACTGGAACCACAGGACAGCCAGTATGACGCCATGGTCTGTGCTCTCTGTGAGGGCGCTCACAGCCCTCTCCACCACAGTTCAGGCCTGCCCGCCACCGCCAACCCGCTGGGCATGCGCAGAGGCGGTGCAATGGGTTGCAGGAATAAGGAAGGCAGCAGCTCTGCTTTCCAGCCCAGCGAGCTGCACTCCCCACCAGGAGTCCCACCTCTTCCTAGGTCTCAGTGTGATGGGCGTGACCGGAGACTGACCGGACAATGCATAACCACGTAGCCCCAACAGGCTTAAAGTGGCCTTTCACCCTGACACCCTAACCAGCCCTAGGCCACTATCCTCCTGCCCCATCCCCGCCCCCGCCGTTAGGGGTCACAGGATGGATTGAGTCAAGCATATCGTTTCCCTCACAGTGGATTCGAGTGTATCTCCTACCCTCTGTGGAGCCCCAAGTCCATGTCTGAAGGACTGGAATCCAGGGCCATGGCAGAAAGTGCCAGAACCGACTCACCACACCCTACAGCTGAGGTGGAGCCAGCAACAATGCCAGCCTGGGGCACCCTGCAGGGCCAGGGAGAGGACCCCTGCATCCTGCCCGGTGAGTGAATATGGTGATAAAGTATAGGCTCGGCTTGGGTGGAGGGGGGCCTTGAGAGCCAGGCTCCCCACTTGGGCTCAGTGTCTGGCAGAGGTAGGCCATGCCTCATGGAGACCAGGTGGGTCATGGCAGGCCAAGTGAAAGGGCAGGTGGGACTATGTTAATAAGAACTATGGTGACACCATGGTTAAAGCACCTCCACTGCTAGCTGAATGATCAGTGGTCTGACCCTACCAGTGGCTCCTTGGGAGAAAACTGTGGCAGTCTCCTTCAGTAAAGATTGTTGTTGTTAAGTGCCATGGAGTCAGTTCCAACTCAGTGATCATGGGTTTCTGAGGAGCAGCTGGTGGGTTTGAAGTGCCAACCTTGTGGTTCACAGTCCAGTACAGATCCTACAGTGCCACCATGGTGGTGGTGGTTATGTGCCGTGGAGTCAGTTCCGACCCATAGCAACCCTGTACAGGGTTTCTGAGGCTGTAAATCTTTACAGGAGCAGAAAGCCTCATCTTTCTTCCGCAGAACAGCTGGTAGTTTCAAACTGCTGACCTTGAGGTTGGCAGCCCGATTCGTAACCACTACACTACCAGGGCTCCTTACAGTGCCACTCTAGGAGTCCATAAAGATTGCAGCCTTGGAAACCCTATGGGGAAGTTCTGCGCTGTATTGTAGGGTCGTTTCAAGTCAGAATGGACTCAACGAGTTTGGGGTTTTTGTATGTTTGTTTGGAGTTCTGTGTTAGTATCCAGAGATGGTGGCCAAGCAGTGTCCTGGCATTTGAGGTCAGTTGGTATCTAATCTACTGTGAACCTGACCTTGGGACAGCCTCTGACCAGGGCACCTTGGGCCATTTGTGGTCCTGTCAGGCTGAGACCGGGCTTCAACAGCAGCAAACCTATTAGGGCAATGGCCATTGCCACCCATGAGGCCTGTGGTCGGCCTGGCCCGGAATCGCAGCCCCACTGTCTTCTGGGCCCTGCATGCCCTGACTGGTCACTCGAGTGTACCCTGGTTTCTAGATGACTCCATCTTGGCACCACGTCCACCTGCTATGGAACATCCTCCATCTAGGGGTCTGGTCAGTGGTTCCTCAGGGAAACCAGGTGCTGGCCCATCTCTTGCAGAAGGCACCACGTTGCCTTACCCACTCTATTCAAGAATTAGCACGTGAGCCAGACGCTGAGGCTCCTGAGTTGAATCAGAGTTTAATCACTGCCATTATTGTGCTCCGGGATGTGAAATGCTCCCATTGTAAATACGTGGTTGGCATCTTAATGCGGGAAACAACCTTGATGAGCAGTTAATAGTGAGGAGGCACTGGAGGCATCGGCCCCCTGCATTGCTCTGGGAGGGGCTTCAGGGAAGGAGGGAGGTCACAGACAGGTCCTGATCCTTCCCTAAGTGACATGAGAGTGTGGATGTTCGTGAACAGAGCTTGGAGAGGACCTAGAAGTGATGGCCATGTGCTGCCCCTGCCCCACAGTTGGGATCTGGGCCCTGGTGCTATGGAGTGAGCAGTCAGGAGCCAGCAGGGCTTCCGGGTCACAGAGCAGGATGGACTTTGCTGAGACACTGTCCATGCGATATCCAGAGAAGATTGAGTGAATGCCCACGTGCCCCAGGGAGTCTTACAGATGACAGGCTGGACAGGTTGTCCTTTGTCATTGTGAGCATGCTTCAGAGACAGCACTTTTCCCTGGGAGGCCCATTGCACCTGCCTGCAGAATACCACGTTCCTGCTGTTGCTCCAGGCAGCCCCTAGAGCCCCCACAGATGGCCTCACAGGCAACTCAATGAGCTGGAAGTGGCCCCCTCTTTCCTCTTCCAGGCCCACACTCTCCCTGTGTCCACACTGTCTCCTGTCCTGTCTGTGGGAACAGATGAGGGGTGGGGGTAGAAGGCAGGCCAAGCTCCCCAACCATACTGTCCTTGAACTTAGGTTCTCCTTCCTACAACTGAATCTGGGGGGTGGCAGGACAGGACTCAGAGCCCCCAGCCACCTGCATACCCTCCTCCCCCCACCCCCGACCTCTTCCCATCCACCTTGCCCGGAAGTGGTCATGCCAACAGCTGGGCACATGTTCTTCGAGGCTCCTCCAAACAACAACAGAGTCCGTACTGTGGATTCTGCTCCATAGAAGGACCGAGTACCCTTTGTGCAAAGAAGGGATGAACAGTTGGGCTTGTGGTCTCTCCTGGTGGGGGCTGCAGGAACAGGGCTGGCTGGGTGTTCTCTCTCACTAGGAAGAAGTAGTCATCGAAGGGCAAGGATCTCAAGGAAGCTCCATTGACCAAGGCCCAGGCCACTCTACTGCCACTTTAGATGCAGATTAGAGAGGTGATTTTCTGCTGCATCAGCAGAGGACCAGTCATATTTCTGGGTGAAAACCTCTCAGATGCTAGACTGTGCCCTTGGGAGGTGTCCAGGGTCATATAGCCAGGTTACAATTGAAGCCAGGCCCATATGTCAGGTGCTATGAAGGAGCTCTGGTAGCGTAGTGGTTACGAATCGGGCTGCGAACCTTAAGGTCAGCAGTTCGAAACTACCAGCTGCTCTGCGGGAGAAAGATGAGGCCTTCCATGTGGGGCTGATTCCCCTGGGGGGCCGATTCCCCCAGGGCTCCCCACAGTGTGTTTGGGGCATCCGCTGGGCTGGGACCTGGTACAGCCCCACGACACATGGCTCAGATGCACAAACCTTTTCTGAGATGTACCTAGCTCTGCTGCACAGCACAGAGAAAGTCACCTTCGGGTGAGCAGACAAGTGGCGGGCTTTGAGGGATGTGTTTTTGTCCAAACTGCCCAGTTGGAACCCTGATGCCCAGCAACTCAGGCCTCTCAGTGGCCTTTCTGGAAGTCCTCCACCCTTGTACAGCATGGGGTGTACGCGCCACACCAAGAACTCCAACCTCTTACCAGCTGAGTGTGGGGACAAGCCAAGAGAGGTACGATTGATTACCATTTTCCTTGTGGAAAGACCCCAACCTGGGGAACATTCCTCAGTAATGTCTACCCCTCCCCCAGCCGTATCTGGGGCTCATGGTGGCCCTAGGCGAGGCGTGGTAGCCCTTCTACCAAGCAAGATCAGTCCCCCAGCCCCTCAGGAAGAGGAGTTGTCATAGCAACCAGCTCATCAGTGGCCCCCAGACACCAGGCTGGGTACCCCAGACTCATTCAAGTTATAACAAGGCAGTTATAACTGCGTGCTTGGAGGCGGAGCTCTGACATGCGCATGGGAACCACAGACTTGATGAGACCAAGCATCTAAGGAGACCCAGCATCTCCCAGGACTGAAGTGAGCAGATTCTCCTCTTGTCTTCCAGTCTGTCTTTTCTTCTTTCACTATATCTTGGTGTCTTACAGCCGTAGTAATGCAAACACCACAAGATTAAAAACAGAAATTTCTTTTCTCATGGTTCTGGAGGCTTCAAGTCTACCTTGGGGTCCCGGCCATGTGGGTTCCTTCCTTGTCAATACTTCCCAGCTGCTCCTTGATTCCTTACGGGTCCTCATATGGCATCTGTCTTCCCCAGTGTGTTTTCACTTCTGTGTCTATTCTGCTGTTCTTAAACCTCAGTGATTAGGTTTAGGACCCACCTTACATGAATGATGACCTCATTAACATAACCCAGAACCCCTTATTTCCAAATAGGGGTATGTCTGTGAACACAGGGGTTAGCATTCCAGCGCGTATGTTGTTGTTGTTAAGAGCTGTCCAGTCGACGCTGACCCTGTATAGGGTTTCAGAGGAGCAGCTGATGGGTTTGAATCACTGATCTTGTGGTTTGCAGTCCAGTGCTGAGCCTACAGGGACATAATATTTTCAATCCACAACATACTATGATCCCATTTAAAGCCAATTATCTGGTTTGTTGCTTTCAAATTGTGATCCAGTTAAATTGTTACTTCCTTCTGTCCTTGTAAAATTCAGACTGAACTTTCCTGCCATTTCCCATCTCCTGCTGAAACTCTCTCTCCCACACCCCGGTCTTTATGTAGCCTGAGTCACCAAGGACCCCTTCCCCCCAGACATAGTGGGCACCATCTAGATCTCTCTCTAACACACACACACCTCATCCAGCCCTGGATCTGCCTGGGATCATGAAGCCAATAGCTGTCTGTCTGTCCTCGTCAGTCAGGGAAGGTGGTAACTGGCATTCTGCAAATTGTCAAGGCCATCACCAAGAATGCCAATTCTATGTGGTTAGACTTACATTTAGCCACAAGTAAGAGAGTACCATGGGGTAATGACGGTGTAGCCTGCAGGCAGCTTCATTCTCATGTTTGGGAAGCCCCAAGGTGTCCACTCAGAACTAGGAGAGGCCCCTCGTGTCAGGGACCTGCCTCCTGGGATCTCCCAGCTGCCACCTCCTCCATGGGCCACTCTGATGTAGTGACTGGAGGCAAGAAGAAGGCTCCATCTGCTCACACGACTCCACCCGGAGCCTGAGATTGTGGGCTTGGGTCTGGGCAAGCTCTTCCTGGCAAAGCCTGGAGACCCTGGGACTGAGTAAATCCAGGGCAGTACCAGAGGGGACCCTGGAATGAGAACTCGGAGAGTCAAAGAGGGCACTTCCTCCACTTTTCACCTCCTCCTCCTCCTTCTTCAGTAAAATGACCTATCGTATGAACAACTGAGGATGGGTATCTTCACATTTAAATTTTCTTTATCCATTTTGCTGAAAGAAAGAATAAAATGTGGTGCTATAAAGGCAGATCTCACAAGGGAAAATAAAACAGGAATGCTCTTCTAACAGGAGTGACCTTTTGTATTCTCAAGATGAAAGAAAACCCTCTCCCTCCAAGCTTGTCCCTTAGTGTCCTCCTGGTGGCTCCCTTTCTGGCCAGACCTTCACTGAGGACGTTGGCCCCTAGAGGTCTGCAGAAGGCACCTGGTACCTTCGCTGTCTCTGCATGTAGCCGGAGGCAGGTTGCATGCAACAGGATCAGTCAGCACCAAAGGCTGGGGCCGCTGAACCAGATGTTAGAAGTTGACTTTAACA